TGTTTCTATTGTCCATTCTGACCTGTCTAGATCTTTCTGAATATTCTCTTTCTCTTCTAAAGTGTTAGTCCTTCCTCTTAATTTTACAACATCAGCAAATCTGATAATCATTTCCTCAACTCCTTCATCCAGGTCATTAAGAAAAATGTGTGCCCGTTGCATCATTTCATTCACTACTGCTCTCCAAGCTGATGTGGAGCCATTTATGAGAATTCTCTGAGTGGGCTCATTCAGCCTATTACAAATCCAGCTAAATGATATCATTTAGCCCATATTTTACCATTCTATTAATAGGAATATAATGAGAGACTTTTTTCAAAAGCTTTGTGAAATCAAGGTCCATTATTTCTGTCTACAACATTCCCCCTATCTATTAAGCTGGTAACTCTGTCCCAAAAGTAGATAAGATTATTTTGGCATAACTTGCTTGTAGCAAACCTATGCTGGCTCTTGTTAAGTGTTGCATTCCTATCTTAGTGCTCACAAACTGTTGAATAATCTGCTCAAGGACTTAGCCGGTACAGATGTCAAGCTGACAGGTTTATTATTTGCCAGGTCGTCCTACTTCCTTTAAAACAAAACAAAACGGATCAATAGTTGTTTTCCTCCAGTTTTCTGAGGCCTCACCAATTTCTGGAGACAGCCTTGTATCCCTATATTTAATTTGGATATATGCCCCTGGAGGAACCCAGATTTGCTATTTTACATTTTCAGTAGTCTAATGCAGTGTTTCTGAACCTTAGCAACTTGAAGCTGTGTGGACTTCAACTCCCTGGCTGGGGAATTCTGGGATTTGAAGTCCACACAGCTTAAACTTGTTGAGGTTGAGAAAAGAACTGGTCTAATGAATCCCACTAACAACAATAAAAAAGCAATCCTGAAATTCATGTTACTTTGGGTTTAGTCCCAAACTTGTGACCATTGTTAATACACATTTGGGTTGACCATTTTTTCCCCCATAGGATTTTAAAACAATGAGATTCCCCCCCCCCAACTTTTCCCCCCAACTTTGCTAACTATGTTCCCACTCAAACTGGCAATGCTACTGTTTTTTTGCAAGCCTTCTGCAGCTTGTTGATAGCGTCAAGCTGGCTAGAACACCTGCTCATTTGCTAGATTTCAAGTGACAGCCGCAGAGCACTACAAAGCTGGTAATCTTACACCCACTGGAGCTAAACAATGCACCCTTCAGGAAGTGGGTGACTTTTCTGTCTTAAGATCTTATCACCACCAGTTAATGGAGACATCATTGGGAGGGGAGGGGAGTGCACCGAACCACTTGTTTTGTGATCTGTGTGTACATGTGTCTCTGTGGGCTAATATCTTGGGTTAGAGCCAAACTGCAGTTGGAATTTCATGTTCAGCAGAAAAGCAAAATGGGAAGGAATGAAGACATTTAAGAATAGCAAAGAGGAGAATGTACTAGCAGTTTCCCTCTTGCATTTATCTTTTTTAATGTTCAAAACAGGATGCATGTGTCCCTCACCCACTCTACTTTGATACATCATGCTCCATTTCCTACAAAACATCTGAATCTGATGCTTCAGGTAAAGATATGAAACAATTGTTATCTACCACAACCTGCTTACCTCTTCTCAGTCTTACCTCTTCTCTGCATTCATAGGTGCAGAGGGAGAGGAAAGGCCATTTTTCAGTCACTTTGGGTACCCCACCCCACCCTGTTGTACACACACACAGAGCATTAAGAAGCCTCATTAAGCCCTGGGGAAAAACTTGCACACTCTACAGCCGGGGCAGGTCCTTCAAAAGAGTCATTTCCCATTTGCACCTAGCTACACTGTGAAGATGCCCTGGCAACATGACATTGGCTCCTTCTTCACAGCCCATGAGCGCGCCTTAAGGACCCATAGCTGCACTCTCTTACAGTACAGTTTGCCTCCTTGTTCCAGTACCTAACATCAACCTGCTAGGCTTTGTCACCCATTACCTGGGAGGGAACTCATGCATGTGTAGGGGCTTAAAACAAAGGCAATTAAAGCAGAGAAGGAAGCAGGAACGGTCTCCCTACAGCAGTGTTTCTGAAGCTTAGCAACTTTAAGAGGTGTGGACTGAAATCCACACCTCTTAAAGTTGCTGAGGTTGAGAAACACTGTTCTACAGGATCCCTCTACAGGAATGGAATTTTGCTACAGCACATTTCACACCTGCATTGACTTCTGCTGGTTCAAGGTATGGATGCAAATGCTTCCATATTCCACCTGCTCAGCAGTTTGGTCCTTAAAGTATTCCAAAGAGCCTGTCATAACCTGCCCCACATCAAGGAAAACCTTGCCCTCCCACATTTGAGGTACTTTCTTCCCAGGATCTGGGTGGAATGGTGGCCAGAAGTAAACAAGACAGGGAAAGAGGACATTACAGCAGATGTAGCTTGCCATGAAATTTCTTCTGTACTGCTATTAAGGTGAAGACACTCTCTTGTTTTGGGGCATCAAGCCACCAATGCAATGGGAGTTTCTCCTTTTCCTCAGAATGAAGCCCCTGCAAAATTATTCCAAAGAAAGGTGGGAAACCTGGTGGATTTATGGGTCATTTTCAAGGAATGTCAATTTAGATGCTTTTTCCCCATTACGCCGGGGGTCCTCCACATAGCATTTATGGGCACCAGTAAGCCAAGTACTCCTCTATTAGACTCCAGAATCATCTTCATTCCAAAAATGCCTTTGGAGTGTTTATATGCTGCACAGGCATTCTTAGAAAAGGAAAGTGGAAAGGCACTTCTGTACTGTCTCCATCTGGCCTGGAAAAGACCAAGGCAAGCTGGACGGTTGATAGGGCTCTGCAATGCTTAAGAGGATAGCAGAGGAGGACTTCACCACTTTGTTTTCTGCTAAATCAATGTTTTGTGCCAAGCCCCCATGGCAGCTACTTTATCAAAGGACAAGTTACCAGTAGAAGCAAAGTTTAATGGTAGGAGGGATTTTTTTTTTTTTTGAGTGCCCAGAAAAATGTGCCCACTAGCCTAAAGAGGATGGAAATCCTGCAGTGTTCTCCATAGCTTCTGAGTTAACTCAACCATCTGAACATTGATCTGGTTCTCCTCTTAACGTAAGGTCTGTTCTTATTTTAAAAGGCTTGGCAGGGCAAAAAATAATTCCATAAACTAGTGGAGCAGATGTCATGTGCATTTGTTTCTCACACATTCCTGTATGGCGCCACTGCCCATTGTGACTCTGCTGAATGTGCATTTGTGGAATGTCATGATGAGAAACTCTCCTCCTTAGTAGTAGAAGACGTGCAAATTGTTTCACCAACAAAACTACAGCACAGAGTTTGAACCCAACATTGCCCTCCAATGGCTGAAACTATGACGAGATGCAATTATTCCTGTAACTCAACTGTAACCTTCCACTAAGGCTATGAAAAATGTAAGTTCTGAGTCTGTCTATTGGGAACCAGTTTGGTGTAGCGGTGAAGGTGCTGGGCTAGAAACTGGGAGATGGTCAGTTCTAGTCCTGCCTGAGGCATGGAAGCCCTCTGCCTCAGCCCAACCCTCCTCACTGGGTTGCTGTTGATGTGGGGAAAACAGTAGGCAGGAACATTAGATACGTACTCTGCCTTGAACTGACCAAAAATAAAGATGGGATAAAAATTAAAATAAAATAAATATTGTGTGGGAATCAAGTAAAGAAGCAGATGGCATTAGAACAACAACAGAAGTAAGTGCTGATTTAGACCCCTGAAATATTAGAGGTGATAAGATGAGTCTAAACAGTAAGGATAAGTGTTGAGTAGCTAAACCTGCTCAACTCTTGATCTCATGGTAGTGTTCTTGGGAACTATATGGAAGTGATTTCCTGCTGGTTTCTTCTGGGAAATTTTTCCAACTTTTTATTCTAGCCCACAGCTTTACAATGTTTTTGTCCTCCATTTAAATATTAACCAGGTCCAATCCTGCTAAGCCTTTTCAAAGTTGGCTGAGTGCCACCGTTGGCTAAGAATTCTGGGAGTTTTAATTTCATCCATCTACGGGCATCAGATTGAGGAAACTGAGCTAAGCACTGTCTATTTTGACTGACAGCTGACCTCCAGGGGTGTAGCAGGCCAGGACTACTTTGCATGAAGACCTTTGACATGCATACTGTATTTTTTTCCTCTGGTTGCTGCCCTATAATGGGAGAGTTTTTTGCTCTTTTGCACCAGAGCCTTCAGCTTTGCCAGATGCTGTTTCATATGTTCCAATAAAGAGACCACCTTGTGTTTATTTCACTGCATGCATATCTCAATAGTAAAATCCCGTGTATGCATATGCACAAGATTCACAAATTAGGTGTTGCTACAAATCTCTACTGGAGGCTTAATGCATCTGTTTTTCTATTCCTTTTCTAAGGAAAAAAAATATTTTGCTGGTATCATCTTGAAAAAGGGATGATCTGAGAGCTAGAGGAATGCAGGTTGTAAATCTTCAATCAAACATATAAAATCTGCATTATATTAGAAAGTACCCTAGCTCATTAGTATCAAATTGTACTGGAAGCAGCAAGCAGAATATTTTTTCCAGCCATTGCAAATAGAAGAGTCAAGGAACATGCAGTGTGGGAGCATCCCACAGTGGCCATGATCTGATGTGCAGTCATTCCCTTTGATCCTTCCCCTTCCAGTCACCAGCTCTGTAAACATCTGTCATGTGGAATGCTTGGGATTAACATGGTTTGATAGAAATTCAGATGATCAGTAGCTCCATACAAAGTGGGCCTTTTATTCACATTTGAATAATGTTTGGGACTCCAGCTAATTATCATTAACTATTTCTTTGTGGACAAGTTCTATATATTTTATGCCCTTACAGGTGTGTGCCAGCTAACTGTCCCCAGATTTTAACATTATTCAAAAACTGTGGGAAGATTTCAAACATACAGTGCATGCAATAAAGCGAAAGAATATTTCTGAGCTAGAAGAGTTCTGCAAGGAAGAGTAGGGAAAAAAATCCAAATGGAAAAGTACTGTAGAAAGACTTTAAGCTGGCTACAAGAAATGCATGGAACATTTTATTTCTGCCAAAAGAGATGTTACAAAGTGTGAAAGGTGTCCAAACTTCTGCATCTCCCATATTCACTGTTTTCTTATTCAGAATCTGTAAACAACAGCACATAAACATAAGTATTCATTCACATATCTAGAAATATGCCCCATTTAACCATGTAGGGGTTGTGTCAGCTTCTGCATAGTTAGGGATTCACTGAAACATAGAATCTGATCAGAGGTTGCCTAAACTTTCAATACCCCTGTATATTTGGATAGCCATCATATCCCTCGAGCCTGTTTCAGTGGGAAATAATCAAGCAAATCCACCAGAGAGAGATAAGTTTATAAAAGCATCCTATTGTACATAGATACATAAATAGAATTTTTAAGGTAGGAAGGCCTTTCCCTTAGGAAAAAAAGAGTAAAAGGGACAAGCATGATTGTACATGCCTATATATGTTCTTATGTTAATTAGATTTCTCTTTAAATATCCAAACCAGCTGGTGATGCCTCTTCCTACTTGAGTGCCTGTGTTCAAGCAACTGCTCCCAGCCCTGTCCAACGGTGAAGGACTCTCCTCTTGGAATGCTGCAGTAATCTGGACCTGGGAAAGCATTACTCTGGGCAGCTAAAAAAAAGCATAGAGGGAAACAAATGCCCAGTGCAGGAAGGCTGAGAAAGTCAGTCTCAGATCTGTATGATTAAACAATTGTGCTTTTTCAGATGGTGAGCTTTGGGAAAGGAAAGGTGGTGCGTGCTGACCGAAAACAGCACCCGCATGGTTATCGTTTTCCACCCCAAACAAAATGCTACTTGTTCACGAAAAAACATGGACGACTTGCAAGGCGAGCTCCTGTTCTACTCATGATCCCATTTCTGCCTTCTTCACAGCACTTGAACATCCCAAATCTGTGTGGGTCTCTCTTCAGAGGACTCCCAGAGGACTGCGTGATCCCGGTCATAGGCTCTGCCTCCTAGCAAGAAAGGGGGAAATGGCACATGTGCTTTTGAAAGAAGAGATAGACAGTTTTACATAAATAACAGACACAGCGTGGGAAATCGGTTTCTTCCCACATCTTGTTCCACCCAACAATATATCTGAGCTCTGCCACATGTCCATCTGCAGTTACAGGCACTCATTCTCCATGCTCCCCGTCCCAGGAAAAAAAAAGTATGCACCAATTTCATTAAAACTGTTGCATTATTGCACGTGGCCTTACCGTATCCCACGCTCACATTAATGCAACAGAAGGGGGAAAGCAGAAAGACGTGGCGAGTAATCCTATTGACAGTATTAAGACATTCAATTTTAATGTTCATGAACATTCATTTTAAATTAAGTTAAAAGTGTTTTTGGCCCTGGCACCACTCTTTTTTCAATGTGGTTCTGGCATTTTGCTCAAAGAAGAAGAGCATCTACCAGCTAAGAGGAGGGTTTGTCATGAGAAAATGCCTGTAAGGCAATCTGTAGCATCATATTATACAACACATTTTAGTTATATATTACTATAATACTATGAGGTAATACATATCAAGTGCTATATTACTGCAATTTGCTATATTATATATTATAATATATAATATATTATTATATTATATTATATATTATAATATATATTATTATTATATTA